CTGCCCCTTCTGGCCTTCGACTTCCACTGGGTGAATGGGGACTGCTCCTCCGCCAACCTGCTTCTAGGAGGAGGCATGGTGCTGGCAGTGGCTGGTGACCACCTTGGTGCTGAGGGCCGCTCTGTGGCTGGTCAGGCAGTGGTGCTGGTGGTCGCAGTGACTATCCTCATTGTGGCCGTTTTCACAACCAACTCTTATGGAATGTGGGGGGGTGTGATGCTGGGTGCTGCAGGTCTTCTGAGCCGGCTGGAGGAGGACAGACTGCTGCTGCTGCTGCCAAAGGAGGACATCTGTCGCTGGGCCCTGGCCGGGGGCAGCTGGGCCTACCACCGGGCCCTGCACACACAGCGCCTACAGTGGGAGTGATGGCTGGAGACTGCAAGGCTTGGCTTCTGCCCAGCTACCACCTTCTCGCGAGTGATAGACTCTCCTTCCTAATGCCAGCTTTCTGCAGATTGTCTCCCTCTCTGGCTCAGTGTGAGGACTCGCCCAAAACAAAAATGAGGGGGACCGGGTCCCAGGCACGTTCTCAGGCTTGATTTTGGGCAGGCCATGGTTGTGGATCCAGAGAGAGGCTTGGTCTCCAATAAACCTTAGGGATTTAGCAGGAATATGGACTCTGACTCTTCTTTAGACAGGTTGAGGAGTCCTGCAGTGAACTTCATAAGGCTCCCAGGGCAGCAACTGGTTTTCCTGAGCAAAAGAAGGCAATGTGTGGGAACCAACTCTGGGGGTCTCCCTCAACTTGGCCTGACGGCACTGTTGTCAGGAAGGCCCCTGGACTGAGAAGATACAGCCCTTGCTCTCCTGGGACACGATGGAGTTATAAATATCCTTACAAGGTCTGGCTGGTGGTCCTCTGAGGCAGTGACCTTCACTGGCCGCCTGCTGGGATGAAGGCAAACAAGGTCCATAGCTGTTCACAGAAATGTACATCCCCTCCCAGGGCTGACTCAACCTCTACCCGTTTGCCCTTCGGCCTGTACAAGTCCTGATTTCTTAAGACCCTCGCTTTCCTTAGTAGACCGCTCTGCACCTCCGAACCCCCAGGTTAGGAGATGGGATTGGGCAGAGAGGGAGAGGTGGCCGGCAGTTTCTCACTCCGGTGAGCTAGGCTAGAGCCCCGCGCACGCAAGCCTGGGTGTCTGGGGACAAAGGCACAGAGACATGTAGACGTGGGAGTCCAAGGTTGTCCTCCGTGCCCGGGCACCCAAGGTGTGTGGTCCGGACCTGGAGTGGCGGAAAGTACCTTGTTCACCCGGTACTTGACGCCAGGACTTCCCCGCCCTGGTGAGGACCCCTATGCTCCTTGCCCGAGACCCCGCCCACTTTCTGCAGGGGCGGGTCCTCGCGCGCCTATTGGCTCTGGACGACTCGCTGTCTCGCCCGAGAGGTCTTCCCATTGGTCTCACGCAGCTCACGTGACTGGGAGAACGAGGGGGCGTAGGCGGTGGAGGAAGGTGGGGGAGAGCGCAGCGAAAACAAAGATGGCGACCGCGCCGGGGTCGGTGGCCGCGGCGGCTGCGGGGCTACGCGCGGGCCAGACCCACTGAGGCGGCGGCGCAGGGAGCGGGGGTGCGGGGTCTCGGCGGCGGCGGCGGCGAGAGGGCAGAGGGAGCGCGCGGCGCCCCTAACCTCCAGCCGCGGGAGCGGGGGTGCGGGGTCTCGGCGGTAGGCAGCCGAGGCGGCGGCGGCGGCGGCGGCGGCGGGCAGCGGGAAGCTGGAGGAGCGGCTCTACTCGGTTCTGTGCTGCACGGTCTGCCTGGACCTGCCCAAGGCCTCCGTGTACCAGGTAGGGCCGCCGGCCCGACCCCGACCCGGCTCGGCTCCAGCCCCGCCGCGGCCGGCCCCCCGGCACCGCGTCTCCTAGGAGGCCAGGCCGGAGCCCTGGGGCCCAGAGGTGGGACTCTGGCGCCTGTTCGGAAGCTCCTTTCTCGTCCTCTGGCAACTTTTTTGTTTCCTGTTCAGAACCCCTCTTTTTTCTCCTTGTTGTGGCTGCCCTTATACCTTGATGGGAACCTCCTGTTTCCGACTTAGACGCCCCTTCTCTTTCCCGCTTCCCCTGTTCTCTTCTCTTCAGCACTCCCCGGCCCACCTTCAAACTGACCCCAGAGAAAGCTGGCAACAGATGCGGGCTCCTCCCCACTTCCCGGCCTGCTCCCCGCAGCCCTGGACTCCCTAGGCTCCAGGAGCCCCTGGTCTTGGCTCTTCCTCAAGATTTCTTGTTACTTTCTTTGCAGACACCACCTCCCCTGCCCGCCCACAAACTTGTCCTCATGCTCGCCTTGTATTCCTTTACCCTTTGCAGTGGAAAAATCCCCTTTCCCTTGTCATTTATTTCTGGAAAAACTTTGAGAAGGGAAGGGCTCACGTCCTTGCCTTCGCCCACCCCTACCCTCACTCCTGATATGGATGAACTGCCTACCTCAAGCCCCACAGCCTGGGCCTCTTCCCCAGCCCAGCGCCTTCTGGACCTGCTTTGCCTCAGACTGGGCTCCTGCCTGGTCCCTCCTCACCCACACCAGGCCTGGCTTCCTAGGCTACGGGCGCTCCAGGAGGTCTGTTGACTTTCTTTTTATCATCTGAAGAGGCAGCGTAGTGGCTGGACTCAGAATCCTTAACCAGCCTTGTCCCAGGAGGATCCTATTCATGCACCACATAGCAACAGGGTCATACTCTGGTCCCAGGGTCACTGTGCAGTGTCATGCTCTCACCACTGTCTGTCTTTTCCACACTCCAACCCCCATCTCTGATTTCCCTCCCACAACTGCTTTGAGGAACTCTTGTCACCTTTGTTTGCATTTACAGGAGCTGGACATGACTGATGAGGCCTTGCCCCCTGCTTGCGCTCAAATTGGGGGCTGTGGTGAGAAGGCCATTTTTGTGCCAAAATAGCACAGGGCTAGTGTGGATTGTCATTTCCCAGCCTCTGGATCTCCAGCTCCTTCCTGCTCTGGCAGGTGGCTACTTGGGATGACCCCAGTGTGCCCGGATCATGGAGAGAGAAAAGAGGAGGCATTGGTGGGGAAGTGGATTGAGTTCCTTGGGAGAGGACAGTGGTTTTCCACTCACCTTCCTGGGCTTTGGGAAGCTCCTGGCCAGAGGTCCTAGCTCACGGGTACCACAGGCCTCCTGGCTCAGTACAAATGGGGGTAGTGCTTCTCATAACCCCCTCAGGCTTCGGGGTGCACCTGAGGACCTGTCCTTCCTCTTACCCCTTTTGGTTGCCCATGACCTTTTGATTCTTCCAGAAGGACTCTTCCCTGGGCCTTGAGTGAGACTCCGGGAAACCAAGTCAATGGTGCAGAGTCCCAGGGGAGTTTGGGGGTGCATCGTCTCTTGTTATGTGAGTGGCTGGAGCTGGACCTGGCATGAGAGCAGACCATGCGGTGCTGGCTCTTGGTCCCCTCAGTGTAGAGAGCTGCATTTCTGCCTCTGGCCAGAGCTGCTGGTGACCGGGCCTCTGAGCCTGGCCGGTTCAAACCGGCCCACACTGTGCTGGGAGCTGAGGTCTGTCCTGGCCCGGCTGGAGGCAGGTGGCTGAGCAGCTCTGATGCAGGGTGAAGGCACTGCGGCCATGTGGGCCGTGGCCTTACCCATGACCTCGTGGGCTCTACTCAGCGCTTTCCCAGGAATGGGCCTGCTGAGCAAGGAGAGCCACGGATGGTGCCGGCGCTGGCCCTCTGCCCCACCTCCATCCTTCCCCAGTGACACTGGGCCTTGGCAGGGAGTGAATTTCCTTTCATCTCTAGAGGCTTGAGAAAGCTTTAGAGCATGTGGTCAGTGGGAGAGCCATTGGCTATGGAAGAGTTGGCCAGAGCCCTGCAACAGATCAGAACTCACTTTGACTCCTCAGAGACTTGCTGTGGGATGGGGGCCCCTGGTGTAGATGCCCAGCTGTGCCCACACTGGAGCCTGGGGTGAGTGGGGCCCTGAGATAAGGTTTCTTGATCGCTCGTTGCTGCAAGCAGTGTTCCAGGTCACCTTCACAGCCACCCTGGATGGGGTCATTGATGGGGGAGAGGTTGAAATGGACCTGGAGCCCTGTGCCATTTTCTGCTGGGAGGATCTGGGCAAGGATGGCATGGGTCCTGCATGTACTACCTTGAAATGAGTGGACGCAGAGCTCTCTGCGTGTCCCTGGTTGGGGCCCACTGCTTGCCATGTCTTCCTGGCCTGGGCTCAGCCTCTCCACTTCTGCTGGCTGTCTTGGTGAGTTACATTGATGGGCTGTCTGGTGCGCTCACCTCTGGTGTTGTGGTATATTTTGCTCTCTCTTCCTACAGGCAACATTTAGCCTGACCTCACCAGGATACATGCCTTGGGGCCGGCACCAGCCACGCCATGCATCTGAGGGCTGTTGCAGTTGGTGCCCAGTTCTGGGGGTGAGGAGAAGAGCCAGAGACCGTGCTGAGCCCTTATGCAGTGCCCGGTGCTGGAGTGACTGTGTCTCCATAGGCCTCTGGATGTGGCTGGGCAAACAGGAACTCGAGAACATGCTCTCTGGCAGCCAGCTCCTACCTCCGTGCTTCTGGGGAAGCCTGGGTAGTGCGGAGAATAGACACGGTGGCTTGCGTGGGCCTGGTCACCTGTCTCTGATGGGAGCCCCTTGCTCACACCCAGCCCGCCACACCACCTGGCTTGGGAATCTTGCTCTGGAGTCAGACCAGGGTGCTCATGCAACTTGTTCTCACTGTGGCCTTTGTTAGGTGGGGTCAGGTCAGGATTGCAGCAGGTATGGCAGGTGCTGGCTTTGCTGTTCTTATGTGGGTGTTAGATGCATCCTGATAAGGCGTGCAGCTGCTTTCCAGGCTCTCGGGTAGGCACAGCAGCGGGCAGCCAGGTGGGGTTAGGAGGCCTGGGGTGCAACTGGGACAAGACAGGAGCTCTGCAGTGGGCAGCGGTGCTGCACCTGCTCTGCGTGGAGTTCTGGGACCCCAGGGCGCTGTGACCCAGCTCCTCTGCCATCTTCGGGGGAAACACAGCTTCAGCAGGTGGGCCTGGGGTGCTGCCCCCACAGCTGACCCCTGACCCCCATCCCGGCTCTCCCCAGCCCTTCACGCAAGGCAGACCTGTCCCTGACCCCACTGATGTTAGCAAAGGCCCTGGGCCGCAGACCACCCTCTGGAGGACAGGCCCAAGAGGCTCTGCCACCCTGACTCAGTTCTCAGCCAGGAGAATGCCTGTGCCCCCGTCAGGGTGGAGGAGTTGGGGCCTCTGTCACGGGCTGTGACGCCAGCTGGCCTGAGCCCCCTCCAGCCCTTTCCTCTGGCGCCCCTTCTGCCTGGGGCCCTCTCTGGTCCTTCCCCTCCCACTCCTGCAGGCCCTGCTGAGGCAGCACACCGGGCCAAGGCCATCCTCTCCCTGCTGCGGGATGCCTCTCCTGCCCCACCTGCCTGGTCAGCGGCACCGTCTGCCCTGGGGGAGGGCTGAGGCCGTGCCGCTGTGCCTTCTGTCCCCAGCAGGCCTCAGGTCAGCCCAGGGTCTTGGCCACCTGGTGGGCCGTCATGTGGGTGTGAGGCAGGGGTGGCTCCATCTCTGCCCGGGTCCTGGCCAGCATGGGTACCTGCCTTGGGGATCTTGTGAGTGCCCTGCCTCAGTGCCTGTTGACCGACCCAGTGCCACAGACTCTGTTCATGGTGATGTTGAAGGGGTCTCCAACGGGGCTGCCCACCCACGTGGCTGGGGGTCCTCTTCCCCAGTGCCAAAACTGTGCTAGCTCCCACTTTGAGAACCTGTCTGCTTAGCCGTCCACACCAGGGGAAGAGCCAGTCTGTGGACACGAGAAGTTGTGCTTGCTTGAGCTGGCTGTCACTTGAGTTACCATTTGGTCCAGGCAGCACTCCTGGTCCCCGCCCGGGTCCCCGAGCCTTGGGGTGGGGGTCCAGGGGCTGCTGGCCCAGAGCTTCAGCCCCGAAACCTGGGGGAAGGCTGGAGTCCTGGCTTGCGCTGAGAAGAGGCCTTCTGTGTTTTTCGATGAAAGAGGTTGAGGCGACCTTGGATGGAGTATGCAGGGGTGTGAGGAGCCATGAGGCCCTGCTGGGCCAGGTGACGGGGGCGGGGCAGTGGTGAGGCTCCCGCTGAGCTGAGCGGGCCCTTAGATGGCTGATGCCTCCACTGCTGGGAGGGTGGGCTGGTCTCGGGAGTCTGGGTTCTGAGCCTGCCTTTACTGGTAAGCAGTGGCGTTTAGGGGGCACCCAAGGGTTTGAGGGGACCATGCATTCCAGGCTATAAGGACTACTGATCAAGGACTTGATCAAGTACTGAGGGCACTTTGTAAGACCTGCTTTTGTCCCAGGGCCCAGGGCTTTTCCTCAGGAGTGCAGACACTGCCTCCAGCTCCCCCAGGGAAAAGTGTTTTGTTCAAGCAGAGGCCTGACCTACACAGCCTGGGTGCACTGGCCAGGTGATGACCTAGGGGGCAGGTGCCAACGCCCCCCTTCAGGGCTGTTGCAGAGGGACTTGGCTGGAGAACCCAGCGGGAGGGAGGGCCTTTGTTGAAGCAGGCTTGTGCCGGGAGCTCTTCCTGAGGCTCCTGGGCAGGGGTGTGCAGAGGCCTGCTGGTGATGGCAGAGTTAGTTCTGTGCCCTCGTGTGGTCCTGTCATACCTCTGCTGCACATGGTAAGACCAGCTTGTTCTCATTGCAGTATTTTTTGCGGAGGGCGGGTGGCACAAGCTTATGGGATCTAGTTCCCCGACCAGGGGTCAAACCTGTGCCCCCTGCAGTGGAAGCACAGTCTTAACCACTGGATCTCCAGGGAAGTCCCTTTGCCTTATGTGCTTGAGAAAATCCAGGCCCAGAAAGGGAGGTGACCAGTCTATGGTCGTCCTGCCGGTGGCCTGTGGGGTCTGGCCAGTCTGGAGCCCCCTCCCCAACCCTTCCTGTCTCTCAAGTCTTCCTGGCAGGTGGTGGGCAAGCAGCCCAGGCTGGGTGCGGCAGGGGCTGCTCTGTGGAGGGCCCAGGCTCTCCGGGGCTTAGCCCTGGCAGTTGTGTGGGGCACTCCGGCCTGCCCTGACTGGTGCTGTCCATCAGAGGCTTGGCACACAGCCAGTGCTGGGCTGAGCCCTCTGAAGCCCAACTTCTGGCTGGGCAAGAGGCCCGCTGCCTCAGCCAGGCCTGTGTGCAGAGTCGGGTCTTGCTCGGGGGTCCAGGAGGTCCTGGATGTGGGGAGGGCTCAAGTGTGGTGACTGCAGACAGACCAGCAGGCAAGTCACCCGTTGTTCCCCCCAGAGAGTGTCCCTCGGGTGGCCAGTAAGGGACCACCCGTGGGTGTTTGCTTCTTCCTCAGCCAGGCCAGCAGCGTTGGTGTGCTGTGTTCCATCTGAGAGCTGAGCTCTTAGGGCTGGAGGGGCCGTCACCCTGTCTCCTCAGAGGCCAGGAGAGGGCTGGTGCCTGTGTTAGGTCTGGAGGCTCCTGGGGGCTGGACGGGAGCTGGCCTGGAACAGGGTTACTCCTGTAACCCCCGGGTTCTAAGGGGAGGCCTGCAGGTCACCCCGTCTGCTCCCGAGCAGTGGGCTTTCAGGGCAGGGCTGGGAGTGAGCGGTCACACACTGGGCAGCCTTGCGTCACTCACGAGGTCCCTGGACCCCATCCCGAGTCTCTTACCCTCAGGCCCACGCCCTGGCTGGACCACCAGAGACCAAAAAACTCAGCTGGGCCGGACCCAGCAGCAGCTGTTGCTCTCCACTCAGACCCTTGCGCTCTGCCTGAGGGCATCTAGAAATAACGTTGGCCACACAAAGTATTTTGGGGACCCAGGCCCTGGGGTCTCAGCGTCTGGCCTGGCTCCCTCCCTGAGGTGCTGGGCAGGTGTGTGCTGCCTTGCCGGCACTTCCTCCCGTGAGTCAGCGGTCAAGTTAGCAGGTCCTTTTCGCCTCTCTACCTCTGGAGGCCACAGCAACCGTCTGTGTGGATGTGGCTCAGTGCAGCCAGGCCCTTGGGCCCACCCGTGCGGGGGCATGAAGAACGCTCCCGACCTGGGCGGGCGGCAGCAGCCTGTGGTGCCCGGACCCCACTGTCCTCTCCACTCATCTCTCTGGCTTCTCCACAACTTGGGGTGGACGGAACAGATTCCTTTTCTGCCCTGACTGTTCTTGGCACCAACCTCACCCCCCACCCTCAGCCAGCCCGCATATCCAGAGCAGACCCTGCCAGGCTCCCCCCTCATCTCACACACTTTAACCTTTCACCTGACTTAAAAATTGAGATTTGAGTGCGTCTGATCTACGGCACTTGTGTGGACCTGAGTTCTGTGTCTGAAGCCTTTGTCCCTGGCCCTCTGTCAGCCCTCAGCACATAGTCCCCTCACCCACTAGACCCCAAACATGGCCTGCAGGTGCTGAGAGCTCACTCAGCCTCCTGCAGGCCTCAGCTCCATGCCTGGACCCTGGAGTGGTGGGATGGAGGCTAGTGTTCACTGAAGACCCATCTTTTGTGGGCCTGGCCTGGCAGTAGCCCCAGTCGTCTCAACTGCGTTGCATCCCACTTGGAGGAGGGTCCTGGGCCCCAGGGAAGCTGGTGGGCACACTGTCCACCTGCTCGTCCTCTGCCCTGGGCATCTTGCAGGGGAGGAGGGTGCATGGTGGCGGGGGCACCACACTCCCTCCCAGGCTCAGCGACCACCCAGTGTGCCCCAGAGGACATGGCTCGTCTGCTCCTGCACCTCTGGTTCCCTTGTGGGACTCTTCTACCCCAACCCTGTGAATCCCTGCAGACCCAAGCCCACAGCCTGTGTGTGTCAGCGGCACCAAGTGGGTGCTCTGGGGATGTGTGGAGCACCCTCCCTCAGTGAGGGAGCTGAGCCGCAGCCCGCTGTCCACACACCAGGCCCCCAGGCTGGAGGGGAGGTGGACAACCACAGCGTTTGGGCCTTGGATCCACAGGCTCAGAAAGGGAGGGGCCAGCTCCGAGGCCAAAAACCAGCAACCCCCTGCAGATGCACTGCCCTTGTGCCCAGTCCAGACCGAGGGCCTCCCCATCTGCCCGGGCTGTGCTGCCAGCCGTCAAGAAAGCCGCTGGCAGGAGCCAGCCCCTCGAGGGGGCGGCAACTGCCTTGCCACCTGTGCTGACTCAGGAGGCCAGTGTGGCGGGGCCTGGGTGAGGGCACACCTGCCGAAGGTGGGAAACTCGCCGAGAGCACATGCTCTCAAGGCGTCCCCGAGTCAGGCTCTGCTGGCGGCAAGGGCCACCTCGAGACCCGCCCTCCCCACGGGGCCATGTGGGCTCCAGAGGCCAGCCCTGTGCTTGTCAGACCGCTGCCTGCCCGCAGCCCCTGCAGGTGCAGCCCCGGGAGGGGCCGGCCGTGGGGCGGGTGCGCCTCTGCCTGGTCCCGCAGGTCCGTGAGCTTCATCTCCCTTTCCTTCTCCGCAGTGTACTAACGGTCACTTGATGTGCGCTGGCTGTTTTATCCACCTACTAGCAGATGCCCGGCTGAAGGAGGAGCAGGCCACGTGCCCCAACTGTCGTTGTGAGATCAGTAAGAGCCTCTGCTGCCGCAACCTGGCCGTGGAGAAGGCCGTGAGCGAGCTGCCCTCCGAGTGTGGCTTCTGCCTGTGCCAGTTCCCCCGCTCCATCCTGGAGAGGCACCAGAAAGAGGAGTGCCAGGACAGGTGAGCGTCTGGACGGGCTGGCCTGCCCGCCTCCAGGCCCTGGCAGGGTGGGGTCAGCAGGAAGCTGCTGGGGCGGGCAGGAGGCCCCACAGACAGGGGTTAGATCTGCACCCGGCAGCCTCTGGAGTCACCCTGGTCCTCCAGGGTTCCTCATGGCCATGTGGTGACTTCTTCCTTGGAGCCTGTCCTTGGTGTTCCTGGGCCAGTAGAGTGTGGCCAGCCCAAGGGCTCTGGGATCGTGGCGTGAGGGGGCACTGGTTCCCCAGTCCCCTAGGGGGCCAGGCCACTGAGCCTCCCTGGCGCAGAGCCATGCAGGGCTCAGGACCACCGTGGGGGGCCCACCCCGGTGGGTGTAGGTGGTATGTACACCCACAATTCACACATGCCCTGCTCCTTCCCAGGCACTCCCAAGCTCTGACTCCTTCTTGGGGCCGGCACACGGGGTATTTGTCCAGGGAGCAGTTTGCATGAGCAGGGCTGGGTGGAGGCGCCCCCTGGGATGGCCACCTTGCATGGGCAGGGTGTGACCACAGTGCTCACCGCCTCCCCAGGGTGACGCAGTGCAAGTACAAGCGCATCGGCTGCCCGTGGCATGGCCCTTTTCACGAGCTGACGGTGCACGAGGCTGCCTGTGCCCACCCAACCAAGACAGGCAACGAGCTGATGGAGATCTTGGATGAGATGGACCAAAGCCACCGCAAGGAGATGCAGCTCTACAACAGCATCTTCAGCCTGCTCAGCTTCGAAAAGATCGGCTATACAGGTGAGGCGCCCTGCCACCCACTGCACCCCACACGGGCTGGGGCAGGGCCGGCAGCCAGGAGCCGGGGCAGATGCACCCGGTGGCCAGGCTCTGGACGAGCTCCTGGCGCGTGGGAGGATGCCTTGGGGAAGAGGGCTGGAGGCCGAGCAGGGGGGCTGGGCAGGACCCCAGGGGCCCTTGCATGGCTCTGCAGAGGTCCCTCTCCCTGGCTTCCCCACCCTGGTCCCATGACCCTGGCAAAGTGGTGTCCTCACTGCGGGGGGCTGCACGGCCTTGAGACAGGTGGGGTCTCACTGGAAGGTGGGTGTGTCTGGGTGGCTCTGGGAGCTGAGGGCCTGCCCTGCGGAGCCAGGGGCAAGAAGAGCAGTCATCACGTCGGGTCCTGCCAACAGGCAGTTACTGCAATGATCACGGGCTTCCTGAGGCCAGTGAGAAGATGGGCAGGGCCAGGGCTCCAGAGCGAGCTGAGGGGGCCCAACTCAAACCGCAGAGCCAGGAGTGGACGCCCAGGGATGGGCAGGCTGGACTGCGCCCAGGCCGGCTGGATCTCCTGGGCTCTCCCGGTCACCACCACTGCGTTTGGACACTCTGGGGAGCAGGAGTCAGGCCAGAGCTCGCTCTAGACAGAGGATGGCAGGAAGCCTGTGCTCGCTGGAGCTCACGCCAGGCGGCCAGCTCCACGTCAAGGGCAGTCAGGCAGCAGTCAGACCGCGCTGCCTGGGCCGGGCCTGCCTCTGTGTGGGCCTGCGGAGGCCCAGGGAGCCAAGGGCCTAGCCTCAGCAGCAGAAGGCTGTGGTTCTGGTTAGTCGTAGCCCTGGCTACCGTGGTGGGCACCGTGTCCCAGACCACCCAGGCCAGGCCTGGAGAGTTGCTGTGGACCGAGGCGGCGTGACTGCGGCGTGGCCGGGAAGGGAGGACTGGCCGCCTCTGCAAAGGGACTTGCCGGCCGCGGGCTCTGCCGTGAGGACTGTGGCGGCGGTCACCGCCGACTGGGGGCCCTGCGGCCAGCTGGCGGAGCCAGGACTGGGCCCGCCATGGGGCTGCGCCTCGAGGCCCAGCATGGGCTTGGGGGCCATGTGCCAGCCCGGCCGCCGGCTTTTCTGGCAGCTCTGTATCGGAACCAATAAAGTGCACTTTTTCACAGAACTGCATCCTGTCTGTGTGTCTGCTTACCCCAGCCCCCTGGATGGGGCCGCTCCCCCTGCGGGGCCCCGGGGAGGAGAGGAGGGGCCAGTGGGGGTCCGGCCACGTCGGCCACTCTCCCCTCGCAGCCTCTGGGCTCCCTGCCGCTAACGAGTGTCACTTCTGTTTGTAGTTGTTCCCCCAAAGCTTGCGTGCGCCTTCGTTTGCCCTAATGGGTTTGATTTGCCTTGTGACAAGTAGAGCTGCCGTGTCTGGGTAAGTTGCCTTCCTCCCTGGCCGAGCCTTTCTCCTCGGCCGGCCAGGAAGGTGCCACCCTAGCCCTGCCCCCTCTGACCGCCGGCCCCCGGCCTGTCTGTCTCCACAGAGGTCCAGTTCCGGCCATACCGCACGGACGACTTCATCACGCGTCTGTACTATGAGACGCCTCGGTTCACGGTGCTGAACCAGACGTGGGTCCTGAAGGCACGCGTGAACGACTCGGAGCGCAACCCCAACCTTTCGTGCAAGCGCACCCTCTCCTTCCAGCTCCTGCTCAAGAGCAAGGTCACCGCGCCCCTGGAGTGCTCCTTCCTGCTGCTCAAGGGCCCGTATGACGATGTGAAGATCAGCCCCGTCATCTACCACTTCGTGTTCACCAACGAGAGCAACGAGACGGACTACGTACCGCTGCCCATCGTCGACTCTGTGGAGTGCAACAAGCTGCTGGCCGCCAAGAACATCAACCTGCGGCTCTTCCTGTTCCAGATTCAGAAGTAGGCGGCCCTGCCCACGCCCACTGCCGTGGCTGCACCACACCATTGCCCATCTCAGTGGAGAAGGGATGGAAGCGAACCCTGGGACGTCTGCATGTGTGTGCGAAGGTGGGAGCCCCCTCGCCCTCTGCCCCACCTCCTCTGTCCTGGGCGCCAGAGGCTGGGCCCCTGAAGAGGAGACACTGCTCGGGGACCCAAGGGGTGTGGCATGGCTCAGCTGCCTGGCCCCAGCCCCCAGCGTGCAGTGGGCCCCACGCCTGCTCTGGGCTGCACAGCAGGCCACCCACAGCTTCTGGGCCGGGCTTGGGGGCACTGACCACAGACAGCATATTTGATTGCAATTAAAAAGGCACCCTGTTTCCTATTTTCTGTTTTGTTCAAGAGGAAGGCGTGGCTATAGTTGGACAGGATGGGATCTTCAGTTTGGCCAGGGTCAGAGCCCACCCTCCAGGAGAGACTTGGAGTCACTGCCTGCTCTGTCATAGACTTGGGGGAGTGAGCAGTCAGTTTCCCCAACACACCCACCCCCAGCTGCTCCAGGGAGGCAAGACTTAGCCACAGGGCTCAGCAGGCTCTTCGGATTGCAGGGTGATTTTCTGTCTCTTCCCAGGAAAATAAACCCTTTACGGGTTCTTGTTTAAATTACACAAATTTAGCAAAAGAGAATCTATCTTCTGTATTCAGTCTCAAGGACTCAGTGTCTCCAGGCCATGAGGAGAGTTCTGGGGTGTGCTGGCAGTGAGCAAGCCTGGCTGGCTGAAGGTCTGAGTGGTCCAGCTGCTCTCAGGGACCATCCGCTGGTCATGCGTCCAGTGGAAGTCAGCGCTGGGCAGGGTGGTCCCTCCCCCAGGGAGGTGGTCCCCTGGGGAGCAGGCCTGTGGCCCTCACGGAGGGAAGAACCCTGCCTGAGACCCCGAGACCTGTTTGTGAAGGGGGCGCGGGCCCTGCTGAGACCAGGCTCCCCGCACTCGTGGCTTCAGTACCAAAGAGCTGGTTCCCTCCCCCCAGGCCAGCCCACCCGGGCCTGGAGCAGAGCCTGCTGGCCTGGCCCCCACTGCAGGCTTGGTGGGCAGGGCCGCCCTGGCCTGTCTCTGGGAGCTGCTCTCTCCTGGCCCTCTGGTGGGAGCTGAGCAGAGGGGTGAAGGAGCTGTGGCATACAGCTTGAGCCCAGTTCCTAGTGGCCAAGGCAGCTCTCCCAGGCCCAGGACTCCCCTGTCCCCCACCCAGGGCATGGTGCTGGCAGGAGACGACTCCTGCAAGGCCGACAGCCTTGCCTCCCCTCCACGAAGAAAGGCTCCACCCCAGTCACACCCTCCTGTGGTCCCACTGCCCTCCAGGGCCGGCCCCCACCTGCTAGTGGGCACAGGTGAGGACATTCAGGTCCATGCAGGCTGCGTCTCCTGTGTGTGGAATGGTGCCGTGATACCATATCAGGTCTTTTGGGGCCAAACACCCTCTCTGTGGGTTCCAAAGTGACCATATGGGGAGTGGGGGGAGGACAGGGCAGGCTTGCCTGGTCCGTGTGTGTTTGGGTGCCTGTGTGAAGCTGAGGCAGCAGAGGGTCAGGCCACCTGGCAGCTCTCCTGGGTGGGCAGGTGAAGGTGTGTGACTGGGAGGCGAAACCAGGGCCGGGCGAGCCGCGCTGCGTGTGTGGGGAGGGCCAGGAGGAGCGGCACTCTGCCGCCCCAGGTCAGCTGTGCACAGGGGCACAGCCCAGGAGCTCCAGCGGCCTGAGAGCCAGCACTGGTGGGGGGCTGGTGCCCAGGCAAGGCCCTCCCTGTAGGGGTGTCTGGGGATGCCCGAGACTACTAATCTACCCCACGGCCCCACCCTGTGACAGTCAACTCAGCAGCTGAGCCTTACAGCCTATGGAGCAGGGCACCCTGGGACACTGTAGTGTGTTCTTGGCCACTGACAGAGGCTGGTGCCTGCTTGTGGCATCTCGCCAGGAGTCACTGGTTTACTGGAGGGTGTCCGAGTCATGTTGTTAGAAAGGAGAAGGCACCAGCGGTCTGTCTCCAGGATCCCAGTCCATCTTAGTATCCTGAGCTGGTGAGGGTGGGGGTGCAACCTCAGCAGATGTGGGGGCAGCCCTGGGGGCACAGGTCAAGCCCCACTTCCCCCTCTCACCCCACTTCCTTTTAAACACTACATTTCTCAGCCCAAAGTGAGACATTTACAAAAATAATAAAAAATAATTTTTTAAAAAGAGGAGTCAAGAGGTGTTTTTACAACATACTATGTTGCTTTTGTGGTCTATAATCTCTTTCAATATTTTCTGTCTGTATCTATAGTTTTTAAAAAGTTCCAAGCCAAGTTTTGTTTGTATTTCCTTACAAGACAGCCTCATCTATGGGCCTCCCAGCCAGGGGTTGAAGCTGGCCCCAACCCTCAGTCTCCCCACCCCAGGCCCCCAGCTCTTGCTGGCAGTGCCTTGGATGCGCATCCCTGTCTGATGGGTGGGGAAGGTCAAGGCTAGAGAAGCTGGGTCCTCTCTCAAATGGGATCAGGCCCAGAACCTGAGCTGCCCTGAGGATGCTGGTGCTGGAGGGCTGGAGGCACAGAGGGGTCGGGAGGCGCCCTCCACGCTCAGCCTGTTCAGCTGGGACAGTCTGTTCCCACGGCTTGACTCCCCCCACCCCCATCCTGCATCTCACTGTGGCCCTGGAACCTCACAGCCCACCTGCCAAGCAGCCACCTTGGTTTCCTGCCCCGCTGGGATCCACGTTGGGGAGGGCGGGGGGCAGGGAAGAGCAGCTCACCCTTTGAGAAGGCTGAGAGAAGGCCCTCCTGCAGCTCCTCAAGCTCAGCCTCAACCCAGCCCTGTAGCCACCCACTGGCCCTGGGCAACCTTCCCTGGACCTGCAGACCAGCTGCCCTCCATATAGCTCCCTCCCCAGCAGGCCTTGCTGCCCATCCACTGGCTGAGAGTTTTACCCCACTGGGTGTGATTCCATTTCTGATTCTTTGGGGAGCCCGCCAGGCTCCTCTGTCTATGGGATTCTTCAGGCAAGAATACTGGAGTGGATAGGCATTCCCTTCTCCAGGGGATCTTCCTGACCCAGGGATCAAACTCAGTTCTCCTGCATTGCAGGCAGATTCTTTATCGTCTCAAGGAAGCCCCATTTCATTTGCCTCCCAGTCCTTCCAGGCCTCCTTTAGGGCCTTTGGGGTGTCAGCCCTGGCACCTAGGGCTCAGGGGCCCGCAGTTGGCAGCGGGGACAGAGAGCCACACGGCCTAGCAGGTGTTTGGTTCTCCAGGCGTGGGTAGAGGACGGGCACTTAGAGGCCGCCAGGGCTCCCCACGCCCCGGATCTCCCGGCTCTGAGGCCACAGCGCTCCAGGCTCGAATCCTGCCCCCTTTACCTCTCAGCACATGACGGTTTTGCAGTTTTATCGAGGGCACGCTGAGTTTTCCAGGAATACAACCGTCGAGCACACCGAGAAGTTCAATTCATTTTGGAACTCAACACCCCCCTCCCGCCGGCAGGACTGGGGGTCGGAGTCCCCGCGTGTGAGGACTCCAGCGCGTTCGCGGTTGATGCAGGTTCTGCGGGGACACAGATCCGAGCGCCCAAGTGCCCGTGGTCCCCGAGGCCTTCCTCTCCTCCCCTGCGAGGGCAGTGCGTTCCTCAGGGCAGGTCGCGCGGGTGTCCAGAACAGCGGCAGCAAGCGGCGGGAGCCCGGAAGACCTCACCCCAAGGGCGGCTGCGATGGTGGGGCGGGGCCCGGGCTCCGCGCGCGGAAGACACGGGTGCTGAGGCCGCCTTCCGCGCTTCGAGCCCCTTCCGCGCTTCGGGCCCCAGCGCAGACCTACTACAACTCCCAGGATGCTTTGGGCACCTGGACTACACTTCCCGAGATGCTCCGCGGCAGGACCAGGCCTGCGCGCGGAGCCGGAGAGGGCGGGGCCGCCGCGCCAGCAGAGAGCGCGCGAAGTCCGGAACCCGGGGCGCGGCAAGTGCAGGATGAACCTGGAGCGCGAGCTTCGCCGTGAGTCCAGGGAAAAGCGCCCGAGCGCGGGGGCTGGAGACGGCCCTGGCCCTCCCGGGCGGAGAGGCTCAACGCTCAGGCCTCGTCTCTCTCTCTGCAGAGCTGAGCAAGGCCAAAGCTAAGGCCCAGAGGAGCGGGCGGCTGCGGGAGGAGGCCTCCGTCTGCCACCAGCTAGGGGAGCTCTTGGCCAGCCATGGTGCGTGGGGTGGAGTAGGGGCCGTAGGGGCATGGGACCGGGGGCAGGGGCTTCCTGAGTACCGGCCGGCCGCCACCCCATTGGCCTTGCTGCCCCTGGCCCACTGCCCAGTCGGACGGAAACCTGTCCCGCCCACCCAGGCTGTTACGCGGAGGCCCTGCGAGAGCACCAGCACGAGCTGCAGCTCCTGGAGACCACCGACGACCCCCTGGGCTGCGCCGTGGCCCACCGCAAGATCGGAGAACGGCTGGCGGAGATGGAGGACTACTCGGCTGCCCTGCAGGTGGGCGGAGACCGGCCCACCCCAACGCTGGCTACAGTCTACTCTCCCAGGCTCGCTTCTCATGGGGGCAGAGCCTGCCTGGTCTCTGCCGTCCAGGCCTCTGGCTGGAGGGAAGAGTGGGAAATGGTGCGATGAGGCTTCAGCTTCAGAGAGCCCTGCGTCAGCAGTGGTCACCTGGTCCTTGGATGCACGCACCACAGCCTCTCCTGGGAACGTGGCTCCAGAAACCACTGCTGAACATGTTACTGAGCTGAAATCACTGGGGGCTGGCTGGGTGGGATCCAGACCCTTGACCACACAGAGCTGCCCTGGCTTCTGTGTCCCTGCAGCACCAGTGACTCCCAGTCAGTTTCTCCTCGCGTGACTGGCTGGTTAGCATGTGGTGCCACCGTCCCCGCAGGCAGGGCTTGGCATAGAGGAAACAGTGTGTGTGCAGCCTGGCTTCGGCCTGCACCTGGGGGCTTGGGGGACATGTGGGGCTTGCTTGCAGTGGGGGTTGGCTCACAGCGGCCATACTTCTTTGCCCTCAGCACCAGCACCGCTACCTGGAGCTGGCATGTGCCCTCTCCAACCACGTTGAGCAGCAGAGGGCCTGGGCCACCATTGGCCGCACCCACCTGGACATATATGACCACGACCAGTCCCAGGACGCCTTGCAGCAGGCACAGGATGCCTTCGAGAAAAGCTTGGCTATCCTGGATGAGAAGCTTCAGGGTGACTGCCCTTGGGCCTGACCCTCCCCGACTTTGGCCTCCTGTGCTCTGCAGGGAGAAGAGGCTACAGCCTCACTGCCCATGTGGCGGGTCCCCTGTCTAGCTTCCTCTCTTTGTGAGGCTGAGTCTGGCTCTCAGGACCCCCCCACACACCCCCACTTTGTGACCCTGCAGAGCCC